GTCATTTTTTGATTCTTCTTTAGGATGCAGTACATATGCCAGGTTATTTTAACACTCGGGAGATCATCGTGAACGCCGATATATTCCTCTTTCAAGTATTTCCCTCAAGGGGATCAACCAGTTACATGCCATTAACATGGTTTAGACACAACTGATTCTATTTCTGTGTTAGAGGGAGGGTAACCTTGAGTTTTATATGTAAGAACATCTGTTGCTTCAGTTGTAACGTAAACAATGTATTTTTTGTTATAGGATATATCATTTAGACAGTTAAACTACACAGAGGATATTCACCAGATGAACTGATAACATTGTTTTTGCACAAAGTCAATTATTAGAAGGTCATTGTGATTTATAATGATTAGGTGTAACTCTTGCGTCATAGCAGTGTCCTTGGGGTCCTTTGAATAAGATACTAGTACTGGCAGTAGACAAAGGGAATAGAGAAAACTAAAGGAAACTAGTTATATAACACTTAAACATCTTTCTAGAAATAAACATTTAGATGTCTGTGCATATTCTGATGCATGATTTATTAACATTCTAAAATAAAGTGTGAATAATTTGCGGTGGAGAATCAATACTGTTGAAGGTTATTGCAAAACACATTCAATATCATTTCAACCCCCTCAGTTATTACACCAAAGCCTTAGGGATAACCTTTGAATCTACTCCAGAAATACATTTGGAATCATTATTGAGATTTGTGATGTTAATGTCAGTGATAAAGCAATGCAAATCATTTGGTGAGATAAAATACATGGATACAAAAATACGAAAAACATGTTATTAAAAATTCAATTTTTCCAGACTTAAAGCATACAGCCATGGCACCCGGCAATCATGAATTCAGATTTACTTTCATCAGCTAAATCTAAAAACATTAGCTAGACATCACAGTCTAGAAATACATGTTTCATTGTTTCTCATCCTCTATAACATTGTTATTTATGCTTCATGCACAGTCTATCATTAACTGCTTGAAACTTCTCGACTCCATGCATACGTATTGGCACTTTTCAATGTGTATTGGCACTTTTCAATGTGTATTGGCGCTTTTTAATGTGTATTGGCCATTTTCAATGTGTATTTGCGCTTTTCAATGTGTATTTGCGCTTTTCAATGCGTATTGGCACTTTTCAGTGCGTATTGGCACTTTTCAATGTGTATTTGCACTTTTCACTGTGTATTTGCGCTTTTTAATGCGTATTGGTGCTTTTCAATACATATTGGTACTTTTCAATGTGTATTGGTGCTTTTCAATGAGTATTGGCGCTTTGCTTCAAATTGTGCTCGGGAACGCCCTTCTATCATATAAGGAGATATTTGCTTTTTAATACAGCTCAGGTTTTTCATTGTCGTCTTTTAATAAGCGGTATGTTTTTAGAATCTAAAGGTTACATGCTATGTGTCACGTAAGTTACAAATAGTAAATCAATCAATGGGGCCTTTTGGCAGAGTATAATTTGTTGTACAGTCTATGCCCTTTCTTTTATTTTTTGGTACAATTATTGGTACATTGTATTTTATATGTATGACTTATTCAAATGACATGTGCTTGTTCTATATCATATTCATTTAAAAGTACACCCTTTTAAACATCTTAAAGAAATAGAATTTGTTTTCAGACAATGTATTCAGTTATAAAAAACACTTAAAACATGCTTATCTGCCTTAGACGTGGCAAGTTATCCTAACATTAGATATACCAAGAGAGGCTCAAGGTTATATCATGCAGTGAAAGCAACCTTGGACCAGATTATTTATAAAACAATTTACAACCTACAAAAGGTCCTTACCCAGAATGCAATTACTGTAAGGTCCTCTGTTGGAAAGCAATTAGTGCCCTCCAAGCATCTTCCCAGTTTTCTGTTGTAGAATCTTGAATTCTTACATGAACTTGTCTAAACAGACCCTCAGCGGCCATTTTTACCATAGGAAACCATGTTTTGTCAAAAATCTGAATATATTTCAAGTTGCTTGGAATTATATAGCAGTAATCTCCCCGTCATTAAAGCAAGTATATAGCAGTAATCTCCCCATCATTAAAGCAAGTATAAAGCAGTAATCTCCCCATCATTAAAGCAAGTATATAGCAGTAATCTCCCCATCATTAAAGCAAGTATAAATCAGTAATCTCCCCGTCATAAAGCAAGTATATAGCAGTTATCTCCCCGTCATTAAAGCAAATATATAGCAGTAATCTCCCCGTCATTAAAGCAAGTATATAGCAGTAATCTACCCATCATTAAAGCAAGTATATAGCAGTATCTCCCAATCATTAAAGCAAGTATATAGCAGTAATCTCCCCGTCATTAAAGCAAGTATATAGCAGTATCTCCCAATCATTAAAGCAAGTATATTGCAGTATCTCCCCATCATTAAAGCAAGTATATAGCAGTATCTCCCCATCATTAAAGCAAGTATAAAGCAGTATCTCCCCATCATTAAAGCAAGTATATAGTAGTATCTCCCCATCATTAAAGCAAGTATATAGCAGTATCTCCCCGTTATTAAAGCAAGTATATAGCAGTTTATTCTACAGTTAGCATGATATTCATAGGATAACATGTCAAAATAAAAACGGCATTTTTGTAATCAGTGGTAAAATATGATATTTTTGACAATTTTTCACTTAACCATAGCACACGGTGTTTTAGCCATGACATACGGCGCCGTATGCTATGAATTATGGATTTATGCTACTTCAGACTCAAAACGAGGCTAAGTGTCAACATCGCCAGATTGCTTGAAAAATTCGAATTAAATCACTTAATTTCCGACGTTTCTGATGATGACTTTAACTATGGAATAAAAAGAACATCCTATGATTTACTTGTGATATGATTTTAATCCACTCATGGATATTGATATCTGCACGAGATCACTCATAGATCATAGGATATTCTCTATATCTCCCCATCATTAAAACAAGTATATAGCAGTATCTCCCCATTATTAAAGCAAGTATATAGCAGTATCTCCCCATCATTAAAGCAAGTATATAACAGCATCTCCCCATCATTAAAGCAAGTATATAGCAGTATCTCCCCATCATTAAAGCAGTGGATGCAGCACCTACCAGAGATTTTAAAAATAGGTTTGCTCTGAAAATCGATTTTCACCCATTTGCAAATGAGAAAACCATGAAAATTGGCATATTTTTACAAATTTTGGTCTGCATCGTGAAAATGAGAATTTTGCACCTACTTCCGAAAAAGTTTTGTGGAGAACACTGTTAGGTACTAATGGTACTTAAAGGCCCCATGTAAAGTTTAAACCACTTTGGCTTATATTGTAGTCTTACCCAATGTTATCAAAGTGTGATATGTGAAACTTTTTTTTTAATTTCAAAAAGTGGTTTTTGATAGACTTTTTGTTCCAAAATTTGTGAATTTATTTAAAACCAACTTTTAGAGGTCACTCATATCTTCTAATTAGCCACAATTCATACCAATTCATAGCATTCATCCTCCCATGTTTTTTGCCAAAAAAATTAAGAAAATCGGTTGATAAACAAGCGAGAAGTGAACTTATCAGTGCATGAAAATGGTTCTGAGAAAAATGCATTTCAAAATTTTGGTTCTCATAGAAACCAATGGTACAATGATATCTAAAACATAATTTATTCTTCCTTTTAACCTGGTTAGACAATCAACATTGGTTTTTTATGAAAGTCTAGCATATTTAGAAACGATTGACATCGAAAAAAAATTTTAAATTTTTTTCAAAAAGTTTTTGTTACCTTAGTGACATCACTAATGTTTCAAAATATTTTTGATATGCTAAAACATTGAAGTGGCCCATTAAATATGGCATTTTATTATTGAAATAGTGTGTCCTTTGTTCAATCTTTGCATTGGTGTTAAAAAGATAATCTTTTTTGAAATGCATTAAGAAATATTTGATGATTAAGAAATTTCAACTTTTTTTGAAAAATGGCGGGAAATTTGAATATTTGAGAAATGAAATGCTCACAACTTTTTTTTCAAAAAATTTTTTTTGTTCAAAAATCTCTAAAATCACTTTTTAAGTCCGGACAAATAGTAAATGAATGATAAAAAAATATTTTCAAACTTTAGACGGGGACTTTAAGGTTTACATTAGTTTAACTATAAAGTTAACTGTAATGTAAAAAATGGCAACTTGAAAAATATCACAGATTCGAACTAAAATCCTGCATCTAATGAAACTTCAGTATGTGTACAATAACCCTTAGAGAGTTCTCTTTCTCATGGAATCTTACAATAAGGGCAGGCAGTTTGCTTCGTGACGATAGCAAACATGTTTTTTGGATGTCTAGGGTGGATTGAACTAACGTGACTCATTGGATAAGTGCTCTTTTGTTTGCTATATTCAATATGTCACTGTAATCTCAGTCAGATAATTGTTACATAGATAATGATATCTAATGTGTCTACTGTGCTGAATTCAAAGAAAATACATATTAACTATTGTCTTTATTGTTTCCATAGGTATTTTTAGATGAGATGTGGGAACTTAAGTGCTTCATGGATATCCAGGCACATAATCTTGTATCATAATTCTCTACTTGATATCAAACAATGTTTTACATTGTTAGATGATGCCTCCTAGGGTCCCTAATATACAGTTTTAATAATACACTGCCAAATAAGCCTCTGGGTGTTTGTTTCATTACCTGCTTTTGTGGAAATCACATTTTTCAAAGTGTTGCATTGACGTCATCTTATGCTGATGGGTGTGTGTATACTGTACATGCATGCGTTCATCTGTATGTCTGCATGTATGGGCTGGTATCATACACATTTTGTCGTCACACCTGGAAAATGGCTTTCCCGTTCAACTTAAAATTGTAACAAATGCAAGAGCAGAGAAATCCCAAGATCTGATAAGATTTTGGGCATGCTGCATTTTTGATAAAAAAAGTATAGTATTTTAATCACTATGTGCAATGCACAAATTTACTGTCCTGATATACGAAGGTAATTCTCAATTGCTGGTTTCATATGTGCTTTCAGGAGGTCCAGAAATGAGAGTGAGAAGCTTCGTAGAGACAAGCTGAACATGTACATAGGAGAGCTGGCCAAGATGGTGCCCCTCGTCATGACGGCACAGAAAAAGATGGATAAATCTAGTATACTACGGCTAACTGTCAACTATCTCAAGGTTCATAGAGGTATATATAGAAACATTTATTCTTATAAAACTGATATAAAATGGCTTCCCCAAAATATTTTTCAGGCAACTGTTCTTGGAATATGCAACCAATATGCGGTCAAGGAAAAACAAATATTCTTATTTAAAGGAACATTAGAGATGAGAGAATAAATGTTTGACATAATTCTATAAAGCGTGGCAATGTCAACCTTATAATCTAAATTTTATTTCCTGAAAAAGATTGAGATATTCTGGTTAATATAGAAGTTATCATTGAAGATTCAAGATTGAACTTAAAATTCAGAACGAACTGCGTTTATTTTTTCAGCGTTCACTTTTCGGTGTACATTTTTTTATGTTCTGAAATATTTTTGCTTGACAATAATCAGAAAAATGTGTATCTGTGTGACATATTCTGTCACGTAAAAACGGTTGTGAGTTCAATTTCTTCAGCAACATATATCGCAAATACGCAAATTGTGGGACAAATATGCAAATTGCGGGACAGTTGAATGGCCTGGAACTGTTACAGAGTTTTTTTGGGAATGTTTTGGAATGATGAGAACAAAAATAATTGTGGCAATTCTTTTAAAAACCTTTCCTCAACTACCTAGTCTTCTACTTCTTTTGAAATAACATAATATGAGTATATAGTATGAGTCTCCCATGAGTATTTTATGTCTTTAAAACTTAAAAAAAGGTTCTATAATAGCAGAATGTGGTTATCTTGTCTAAGAATGTTTTGAAAATGTAAACCTAATCTAGTTGCCAATGGCAATCATTAATCCAGATTTTTTCATGTTTGTTTTTTTAATATCTTTCTTTAGTCAGATTATATATGCCTTAGGTGAAATAAAGGGTCGTTGTTCTTTAAACATTTTTCTATTATGAAATAATAATTGAAAGTTCATTTTTATCTTGGGGAAACATTAGTTTGACATTCCATAAAATCTTTTTCACTTCTGATGTGAAATCAGATACTAAATAGTGCAAATGCCTTAGGTATAGCATGAAGGTTCATTGTCACACATTGCTATTTTTAAATGTTTTTGAATGCAATAATGATCCCGTGAGACAAAAGCATTGATTTTTCTCATATTCATTCAACAACAGATATCTGGTCTTTTGTACCATCTCATTCTTTTTCAAAGATTTCTCATTCTTTCCCCCTCTATTTTGCACATAGTGTTGACATTGTTCCATTTTATGTACATAGAGTTGGAGGAATATATCTTGCAGTGTTAATTATCCCAATGAACACATCCATCTGTCAGTGCATCCGTCTGTCTGTTAGGAAAATAATACAAATGCAAGAAAACAGATTTTATTCATGCTAAGATCATATTCAGTTGAAACATAGATAGTTTCATGCAAAAAAATTCAAGGTGGCTTCAATTTTTAAAATGGCAGGAATTTTTCATGAAAATCCAAGATTTTCATTTCCAACCAATGTAATGAGTATTACTATTTGAACCTTTAATAGTATATCTATGGATTATATATTTTGTGTTTTTCCCTATCCCAAGGGGCTGTATATGAGAAATACATGTACAGTGTATATATAGGTTGAGTCAAAAAAAGAAAAATTTTCATTAATTTCGACATCTATAAAAAGTATCACGTTAATATACTCAAAGAGTAGTAGTGTTTTTATGTTAAAATAACAAATTGATTTTGTTTTGCAATATTTCGATTTATTCTGTAAATCTTTTTCAAGCATAAATATTTTTTTTTGCTTGAAAAAGATTTACAGAATAAATCGAAATATTGCAAAACAAAATCAATTTGTTATTAACCTTCTGCATGCTAACTTAATTCAGCAAATATATCCCACGCGACTGACTTATTTTTCAAAGAGTGCAAAAATGATATGCCTGGACTAAATAATTAATATCTCAATAACTACTGAATGAATCTGGATAAAATTTTCACAAAGAGAAGATACATTGGCCTGGCTCATGAAAAAAATGTTCTCATGAATTTTTTACTTAAATAAACAGGACTGGGCATAAATATACCATGAATACTCCTCCGGAATCCGCCGCTTCGCCCCTGTGGAGATTCAACGTCTGGTCAGAATCCAAAACTGAATTTGCAGCGATCAAATGTTCATTTTTCAGTTCAGAAAATATTCTAGTTTCTATTTTCGATGACCATTATCGGCTTCCAAGAGCCTAAAGAGCTCGAAATCGCGATCCATTTCCTCCACATGTACGTTGTGATCGTATTTGACCGCCATTTTGTACGATTTGTTCACTAAAAACGACTTAAACACTGTTTAAATCGTTGGATTAAGAAATATTCTTCGAAACATCGCCATTTATAGGTCAACAGGAAGTCCCCACGTAAGGACTAAATAAATCGGGCAATCTGATTGGATCATAAGACCGGCGGGAAAAAGTTAAGTTTTTGAAAGTTTAAATTCGACTGGAGTCGCCGGCAGTTGCCGGGGATTGTTAAGCACGGGCGACTACGCTCGCCGGTAGCATGCTAAAGGTTAATATACTCAAATGAAAGGTATTTTAGAGGGGATCGCAAATGTTGTATCATTTTTCTGAATTTTCCCTTTGGAAATCTACCTGGTGTTGGAATTCTCAACAGTTTGGAAATCTCTTCTTATATTTTATTCCGTGATAATTACATTTAGACCTTCACAGGCCAAAAATATCATATTGATGTGTTCTTATACCATTTATATTATAAAATAAAGCTAAAAGTAGGTTTTTACAACATGGGAGGTCATTCAAAGTTTTCTATAGTATTATTGAGGAGATGTAAGATCACAATGTTGTTATATCATTATTTTGAAGATCCAAACGTCTATCTAATAATTCACGAATTCAAAATAATAAGTAGATCTCTTAAAAGTATGGCTTTATAAGTCTATAATCTAAGGATTTCTATTCATGAATAATTTGTTCATTGGGATTTGCTACTCTGTGCAGATGCCATTTTCTAGTTGTGGATCTTAATGCGGGTTATCCACCTTGGAATAACTGAACAATCGTTGCTTCCAGTGTTGTCACAATATACTATTATAAGACATCAATATGTCAGCAATTTCTTGGAGTAAACATTGAAGAAATATCTTAGCCTTTGGCATATACAAACAAATGTGGAAAGACAATTGAATCACTTGATATCTGAAAAGGAACTGAGCAATAAGAAAGGCAATACATTTGCATGAAAATGACACGAGAAAAATGATTTTTTGCAGATTTTAGTTTTTTCAAACAATTAATGGTTCTAACATATATTAATGCTATTATAATACATAGTGATACATCGATTAATTGTTCCAACACAATTCACTACAGTAGTCACACTACTAGGTGCTTTTATATCTAGGTTACCCTTTAATGTTTTACCTGATCAACATAATTAAGTAATCAATAGATTAAGTAAATCCACCAATCTGTCTGCCTGGGAAATAACTCATTTACTAGATTGAGGAGATGATTCTTTTGTTGGAAAGATGTATTAGTATATTGGTAGATAGTTTTACGTAATTCTTTTTTTTTCAAGATGCCTACCACTTTGAGAAAAGTTTCTCATTTCCTTCCAAATGCATATTACTGCTTGAAATTTTGTTAGTTTATCCATAAAATATATCCTTTTCACATATATTCTTTGTTTTTCTGGCTTGTCCCTAAGGAGCTATATACAGGGTGATGAAAACAAATGTCTTAATTTTTTGATAAGTGCCATGGAAATTTCAGAATGACCACCCGATGTGGGAATTCCCAGGAATTAAGAGATCTCTTGTATCAATTGTATTTTAAAGTACACCACAATTACTCAGATACGAGTAGGTAGTTACCAGTTTCGCCACCAGGTGGCTGATTGGGGGAAATAACATGGCAGGGAATTACAAAGTTTAACTTGAATATTCATCAGTTTTAGTGGTTCACTTTTCATATTACCCTTATGTATCTGATAGTTATACAAATTATAATATGTCCAGTACAGGAAAATTTTATCTGCCCAACACAAGAAAGGATATTTCACTTTTTGTGATTTTACAACATGGGGTCTATGGGGAATCTCCCCGACCTAGAAGTCACATTTTCAAAGAAAATTATCAAAACCACATTTCTATATGCAATTTTACATGTAGATTCAAAACATGACATCACTTTGACTGAATTTTGAATTTTTAATGACGTAAATCAAGATTACTTCTGCTCGCACCTAGTCTATTATTCTTATTGATGCCCTTTCAGCTACCCAAACTTGATCTTTTACTGTATTGCATTATTCTCTTTCTATTGCAGAGCTGAAGGGGAACAAGAAAGACATTGACTGGAAGCCACCTATCATCTCCAATGACAACTTGTCAGAACTTCTGCTGCAGGTAAGTCATCTATCATATACCATGACAACTCATTACTTATGATATGTGCAAGACATCTAGCCATCAGATCACCTATGAAATTGATGATCCGAATGTCTTCTCTAAAGATAGTGAAAATGAAATATTAAATCACTCTATATCTATCATTAACAGTATTTCTCCAGGATTAAAGCACACACCTGAGATTTTGGCTTGCCCACCCACCTGACAGCCAAGATATGGGGGTCCATTTGCACCCACTTGAAAATGAGATAAATCACGAAATTTGGCATATTTTGACCATTTTTGTTCTGAATTGTGAAAATGAGAATTTTGCACCCACTTGAGAAAAAATCCTGGGGAGAAACACTGAACTACTCCATAGATCACTTACACTTATTTATCAATACTCCTGAACATTTCTAGTCTCTCTTTGCTCATTTTATCTCACATTTTGATCTGATGTTATTACAAAATTGGCAGTTTTGATTACCATTGGCAAACTCAGGCTCAATTTATAAAGGGCCTTGTGGGATAAGACAAATAATTCAGACAGTGATATTTTGGTTGGTAATCCATTTGATCCATACATATTCTCCAAGAAAAGTGGATACAATAACAATAAATTATGATAATGACAATGAAGGACAATCAGTTTTTTATTATTTAATAATGTTGATATTATTTTTTACCATACCAGGGCTTGCATTAACGGCGTCCTGTACATGTTAAGGACTCAAAAAACATTTTCACACTTTTTTTAAAAAATTGGGTCCTTGGGACTCACAAATTTTCTAACCTAATGCAAGCGCTGCCATACTTTAGCTTTCTTCAAGCTCAAAAAATATGCACAATCTCAGATATCATTGATTGAAACCATTTGCCTATTTATGGGGCCTTTCTGGAAATTCGGAAAAACTTCAACTACAACAGGCTACCTTGTTTTGATTTGGTGAAGGAATCACATGAAAATGAAGAGCTCTCAGTTAGCACAGTGAATGATGAAATTTTCAGGATTATGACCTGTTAGACAGTTATATATTGAACATTTTGGAATATAGACCGTCATTGAATTATGTGAAGGAGTGCTAAAAAGATCAGTCTTAATAATGTTTATGATGAAAATATTGTTGCTAGATACATGTACCATCAGTATTGTGCTGATTCTGATTTACGAGTTTGTTTCATGATGTAGTGTTTACATGGGAAGAAAACCAATTTTTCAGAGGATAACTTAAAAATATCTGTCTCCATTTCTTTCGCTTTATGGATTTTTCATGTTTGAAAGTAATTTCAATTTGTTAACCATGATGGTGTTATCTTGTAATAATATTGGTTTGAGAATGAATATTCTTTGATGATATAAGTAATAACAAATCCTCATTAGAGCAAACACTTGAACTATGAAACATGATATTCTGCCCTTTTTAATAACTCACATTAATTTTGACAATAAAATCTGGGAACTTTTGTTGTTAAAATGGTTTTAGAAAGTAATTATTCCTTTTGAAAAATAACTTTTAAAAACACTAATTTTGAGAAATACTGTAGTAATTGATGATAAAAATGCTGAAATTTAATCAAACTGGTCATGTTTCAGTCTCTGAATGGGTTCCTACTGGTGACTTCTAGGAAAGGAATGGTGATATACGCTTCAGAGGAGCTGACAACTAGCCTGGGCCACAATCTGGTAAGCACTTCATGGTTAATACAAAAATGTTCTATGTTCAGCGATTCATGGTTGATCCAAATGTGTTCTATGTTCCGCAATTCATGTTTTTTTGTTTTTTTTATTAGTTAGCAATTCATGGTTGATACAAAAGTGTTCTGTGTTCAGCAATTCATGGTTGATACAAAAGTGTTCTATGATCAGCAATTCATGGTTGATACAAAAGTGTTCTGTGTTCAGCAATTCATGGTTGATACAAAGGTGTTCTATGTTCAGCAATTCATATTTGATACAAAGGTGTTCTATGTTCAGCAATTCATATTTGTAACAAATGTGTTCAATGTTCAGCAGTTCATATTTGATACAAAGGTGTTCTATGTTCAGCAATTCATATTTGATACAAAGGTGTTCTGTGTTCAGCAGTTCATATTTGATACAAAGCTGTTCTATGTTCAGCAATTCATGGTTGATACAAAGGTGTTCTATGTTCAGTAATTCATATTTGATACAAAGGTGTTCTGTGTTCAGCAGTTCATATTTGATACAAAGCTGTTCTATGTTCAGCAATTCATTGTTGATACAAAGGTGTTCTATGTTCAGCAATTCATATTTGATACAAAGGTGTTCTATGTTCAGCAATTCATATTTGTAACAAATGTGTTCAATGTTCAGCAGTTCATATTTGATACAAAGGTGTTCTATGTTCAGCAATTCATGGTTGAAGCAAAGGTGTTCTATGTTCAGCAATTCTAGGTGTTCTGTGTTCAGCAATTCATGGTTGATACAAAGGTGTTCTATGTTCAGCAATTCATATTTGATACAAAGGTGTTCAATGTTCAGCAGTTCATAGTTGAAGCAAAGGTGTTCCATGTTCAGCAATCTATGGTTGATTCAAAGGTGTTATGTGTTCAGCAATTCATATTTGATACAAAGGTGTTCTATGTTCAGCAATTCATATTTGATACAAAGGTGTTCTATGTTCAGCAATTCATAGTTGAAGCAAAGGTGTTCCATGTTCAGCTATCTATGGTTGATTCAAAGGTGTTATGTGTTCAGCAATTCATATTTGATACAAAGGTGTTCTATGTTCAGCAATTCATATTTGATACAAAGGTGTTCAATGTTCAGCAGTTCATGGTTGATGCAAAGGTGTTATATGTACAGCAGTTCATGGTTGATGCAAAGGTGTTATATGTACAGCGATTCATGGTTGATACAAAGGTGTTCTGTGTTCAGCAATTCATGGTTGATACAAAGGTGTTATGTGTTCAGCAATTCATATTTGATACAAAGGTGTTCTATGTTCAGCAATTCATATTTGATACAAAGGTGTTCAATGTTCAGCAGTTCATGGTTGATGCAAAGGTGTTTTATGTACAGCAGTTCATGGTTGATGCAAAGGTGTTATATGTACAGTGATTCATGGTTGATACAAAGGTGTTCTATGTTCAGCAATTCATGGTTGATACAAAAGTATTCTATGTTCAGCAATTCATGGTTGATACAAAAGTATTCTATGTTCAGCAATTCATGGTTGATACAAAAGTATTCTATGTTCAGCAATTCATATTTGATACAAAGGTGTTCAATGTTCAGCAGTTCATGGTTGATGCAAAGGTGTTATATGTACAGCAGTTCATGGTTGATGCAAAGGTGTTATATGTACAGCGATTCATGGTTGATACAAAGGTGTTCTATGTTCAGCAATTCATGGTTGATACAAAAGTATTCAATGTTCAGCAATTCATGGTTGATACAAAGGTGTTCAATGTTCAGCAATTCATAATTGATACAAAGGTGTTCTTTGTTCACCAAAGTAAGTATAATGAAGGCAAGCCCATTCACCAGATTTACTCCAATCTACTTGTGTATATTTCAATCATCTTCCTCAATATTTTAGGCGGATACGGTGGGAAATTCTGTGAAGAAGTTTGTCCATCAAGACGACCAGAAGTATTTTCTTAAGCAGCTAGAACTCCCCCGGGACAAATATGCTATAAGTAAGTCTGATTTATATAAATGAGCAAAAAATTAGAGGTGTCACGGTCCAAAGAAAATTCGGTACGGTATGGAACGGTAGAAATGGTCTCAGGACACTGTACTTTCGGAACGGGACAGAACATTAAAGAAAAATGATGCAATGTCTGATGATGGCAGTTTCACTTTCAGTTTCACTTTTCAAAATCATATTCAGAAATAAAAAACGTCAATTCAAATCTAATATAACGCATCTGCCGCGAATGTAATCGGCATTTCACATAGTCTGCATGGTGTACTATCACCAATTCGTTTACATTGTGATATACCAATATTTTATTCTTAATGTATGATATCATGATTTTAAATACTATAACATGTTTTAGGCGCGTCTATTAATTGTGCCATCATTCCAAAGATGTAGTGTCTAAATGATAGATAAATAAATAGATAAGATATAAGAGAGCCTTTTATAGATTTGACATTGTATAGGTGTAAACCTGATTGGTATGTTAGCATTCAAATAAGAACCCTCTAATTTTGCAATTTCAGACCATGAATCCAACAGGCACAGATCATTCTATTGTCGTATGTTGAATGTGGTGAACAGACAGCAGTTAGGTCATTATGAACCGATGCACGTCGTAGGACACATCCGCATGATGACATCATTTGATACAGGTAGCTTTCAATTATATTTTTAGCTTGTCTGCTAGCCTAAAATAGGTGTCTGAGCAATTCTTCATTTTTAGCTGTTATGATTGCAATACAAACTTTGAAAATATGAGACATGTGACATTAAAGCTTTAACTTTAAGTTCAGTTATTCGTTTTTTATCGAACAATTGTTATATTCTGGTATGATTATAGGAATGTAAAATGAAATTAGCCTGTATGTTTACCATGTATTTATCACATGATATAGGTTCGCTAATATCTTTCTCATCCATCAGCATTTTTCTCAATATTTTCTCGATCTGCATTATTTTAGTGAATGGATGTTTATGAATGGTAATTTTCCCGCAGTTATCATTCCATTAAAAAACTGAACTGAGCAATTTTTATGAACCAAATGAACCACTCGTGGCCAATGATGGTCAGAGCTCTGCAGTTTCTTACCCGTACTTTGTACTCCACTTCCAAAGAACAATTAATTTAAACATCATATATGCCCATTATGGAATCATAAATGTTTGCCTTGTGAAATGCATTATACATATATCCCCAGCTCATATTAAATAAAAAAGGTTTGCTTTGTTAAGTGCACACTTTCTTCACAGGTACACTATTTTCTGCATTTCACTTTTTGCAGTTTAATAATCATTTTCTATATTCTTATAGATGAAGCTGCAGACATGATGGACAGTTGTCTGATTGCAGTTGTCAGGAAGGTTCACAAGGAAAGCATCCGTGAAATCTCAATATTAGAAATGTCAAAGAATGAATGGATCACTCAGCATAACTTGGAAGGCAAAATATTCTTTAGTGATCACAGGTCAGTGTTCATATGTGTTGTTCGTATGAAAATCATTGTTCATTGGTCATTTTCAAGTAACAATAGAACTGAATATTAACTGATTGATCTATTTAAAGCAGTATATTGATGATAAATAACTTGCATTGTTTGTTATTTTGATTAGTTTCAACTCATGAGGTCTAGTTACTTACCACACTTGTGGTTCAGTTATCATAAAGTGGTACATGATGGATGTAATACTGTTTAGAAATTTCCATAAGAATTACTGACTGATTATATTGGCTAAGTTGCTATAGAAACTCCTTTCCCTGAAAACATAAGTAATGATATATGAACATAAGTGATGCTGCCAAGTTGATTTTCTTAATTGATTATGATTGGGAGGTGGAGGACTTTGTTGTTTGAGTCTGTTCCATTTCATGTAAATAACCCGGGGTAAATTATAGATCTTCTGTTCCCCAGTGCTTGTTATATCTAGAATATGAGTAGTCAACAATTGGACATAAATATGACAAAGGGGTTTAACAGAACTGGATGAACATAGACTGTTGTGTTGTGCAAATAAGCATGATCTCTCTGACTATAATACTGCTTATACGTTACCTGCTAGGAATGCTTGTGCAATATATATTAACTCTTTGCTTATTAATCTTTTTAATTTAGGTACCCACCAGCTTGCTTCCCAACTACTGCTTGACAACTGTTGCTTTGCATTTATTACTAGGCAACTATTATTATGCAACTATAACTAGGCAACTGTTACTATGCAACTATTACTAGGCTTCTGCAGTTAAAGGTGCTTGATTATTACCACTAATGCTTACTCTAATACTCACTTAGTTTAAAATACACTATGGATTTATTTTGTACTCATTTTCTGCATAAACCTTTTCTGTGCTCACTTAAACATAGGTCCACTCTGTAGTAATTTAGTGCATTGGTCCACTCTAATTGCACTAAGTAATAGTATAGACCCACTCTGTACTTATTTAGTGTCACATCATGGACTTTATTTTGGAAATGTCATGGACTTCTGTTTTGAAAAAAATGCAAGGAACCCAACCTAATTTTTATAACTAGTTAACTCTAGTTTTATGCACTGCTTTAATATTTAATTTTATGTTTATTTCTCACCTCTATGGTCTATTATTACTAAACGAAATAAATGCCATCAAATTGCTCTTATTTCTTCCTCTTTGTGCTCAAGCTTAATATCTTCGCCATATTGCAAAAGCCTTCTATTATCTAAAAGTAACACCTATCTATCCACAGTATCTATCTGCCTCTCTTTAAAGTAATCATCCACATATTAGCTCTTTGTTGAAATTGAACAATCAAATTATTTAAGCTACTTCAGAATTCTTTTAACACACTGAACAAAATTGAAACAATTAATTTTAGAATTCATGCACCATGTACATTTTCTTAAAGTAACACCTTTCTTACCAACCTAGGCTGTTTCTACAGTACTTTCATTTTCTAGAAGGCCAGTAGTGTTTTTTTCTTTTTTCTGCTTTTGTTTTTCTTTCTGTTTGCAAGATTATTTGCCTTTGACTACTTGACAGTCAATGGAGAAGTCCATTGGGCTCATGAACAATTTGAGATAGAAACAGTCTGAAAATATGCATAAAATATTCTAAAAATGTGTAAATCACGTATTTTCATTTAAATTTGCATAATGACACTGATTTGTTATGTCACCTGGTGACATATTGTTAGTCTTTAACTTTTTTTGTGGATGGGGGTTGGTGTTCAGCTTCTCTCACAAATGGCAGGTGGTGACATTTTGCATGTTAATACCTTGGCCATTGCATGACCTGTGGTCTAGATGACCAACTTAATTAATTCCAGTGAAAGAAGATATGAGTACATTTGCTTTCAAAAGTATGTTGATATGCATTACCTCCTGATTCCTTATGTAACTGTATGTCAGTAAATAATATATGGTTTAAAGCAAAGAGAAGGTATTGTAAGTTGGCAATTATGAACAGTAAACTACGAGTTAAGACGATGTGAAAAGGTTATAAGTTGTGCACTGTTATACCCCCGAACTGTGGAGGGAATATTGCATATGAGAAATGATCTAGTTGTGAAACTGAATGCCTTTTTATCCAAACACCTGTCCTTTAAGAAAACAATATCTTTGAACATGATCCAATTACTCCCTTATAAAATGACCTCTCTGTAAAGAACACACATACAAATGTGTTCACCATACACTGGTTTTACTGTATATTTTAGTGGTTTAGTGATGATGTTAACTGATGTTGTGTGACTTTTAGGACATCACCACTGACAGGCTATCTGCCCTATGAGTCCAATGGAATGCTGGCCTACCAGTTCCTGAAACCGGAGGATGTGAAATGGGTGATCAAACGGCATCACCACTGTAAGTTTATAGGCAGGCAGGCGGTGATGGAACCCAAGCTACCAAGGCTAACCTTTGCTTATATACTAACATTTGTAAATTACTTTGCATTTAGTTCAATTAATGCTGTGTATCTCACCATCTTTGAGTATGATCATGGTTAACACTTAAAACTCCCAATTAGTTGGTTATGTGAACTAACAGTACAGCTGTATGATAAATCTGATTTACTCAACACTAGGTGTTACTAGGGTGCTTTCAAAAAAAAATTAAGGAAATAAGGCCTTCATTTTTGACGAGAAAATCATGAACTGTCCAACCATGGTTTGTCTAGAAATGAGTTGTTCAATTTCTCATGCTTTAAGATGACCTCTAGCAATGACATTGTGCCTGGCTTATTAAGTCTTCATTTCCAATATTAAACCTGTTGAAACTGTAGTAGTGTAGTAAGTCATGTAAGGTGAAATCAATACTGTGCACTGTATACACTGTATAGTGAGTCCTTTATGGTATTTAGAATCATAGACGGCCATTCATCATGTCTCTGTATCATGGATGGTGAGAAAACACTTGCATTGATTACCTACAGATAAAGCCCAATATGTAATTCTGGAAAATATCATATTATCCTGTATGGGTTCCCCAGGCATAATTCTGAATTGATTGTCCATATATAGAACATCATACTGGATGAATCAGTATTATCCCATTGAATGAAGTTCAAGGGGATATAGAGAATGGCTCTGTATGTCTGGCCATCTGTCTTCCCTGGCAATAACGCAAATACTGACCCAATATTGTTTAAATTTTAATCAGTATAGTATACTAATAGGGTACTTAGTAGATGTAAGTTTTGCTTGAAAGTCAATTTTCAAAATAGCCACTGGTTTCATAAAGATTGTCTAACAACTTGTTACTGATTAATTTGAAAATGTTATTATTTAAAAAAACTTGGTGGCCATCTTGAAAAATGGTGGCTGTTACAAAATGTTGTACGATTTTTGCCGTAGCAGGAAAAGTAGTGGCGCGATATTTGATATGTGATATATACATATGATCTTATGACCCTTTGGTTAATAGATGGTCATTTTCAACAATTGGCCGCCATTTTTAGGTTTTTATATGTGACTATTAAGAAGCATATTCCAATTTCTTATGAGAATTTGGCTCATAGGCAGCCATTTTGATAAATGATGGCTATTTTCAATAATATGATTTTACATTTTGCTATAAGGCCAATGGACGAAAACTGGAAAAGTAGTGGAGCAATTTTATTTATATTTTTACTTATTTTTTACTATTGTTTTTGTATTGTAAATATGTAAAAGCATCATACACTGTTTAATGATAATTTGGCATGGCAGCTAGCAATGGCTGTTCAATGGGATTTGCTACGCCTTGGCGTTACTGTTATCTAGTTCATATAGGGGAACTCATATACCAAACTATATAAGCCCCGTACTAAATTTCGAATAAATGAGTCACATATTGGGCTCCAATAAATTGCTCATCTACAGTATTGCCCCAACTCAAATCTTTAAAGATGTATTCCCAGTAGCACATGTAAGGGACATTGACTAAGTACATCTTTAAAGATTGATTGCTTAAGCAAATATGCTAATGTCAATTGCTTGCATGCATTTACTAACACAAGGCTTCCAGTGATGTCTTCTACACAGATGCGCTGCTCGCTGCATGTTTTTTTTCTTTATGTTCTCTTCTGCCATATGCTACAAACTTGGCCTCACTTGGAGAGTAGGACAGGGGTGTAGCTCTTGATAATTTTACATATAATGTGTTAGACAATTATCTGGTACAATTACTTGGTATATTGAGTGCCAAGTTGGGTTATAAAATCATTAAATAACACTGCATGGTAATATTGCGCTATTATCCCACCCTAAGTGCTTATATCATTGTATAATAGCACCGTATAACTGCAATATAAAACCAACACTCATCGTATACAACTCTTGAGAACAATATACAACTCCTGGATAGCATATACAACTCCCGGCAGTGTATACAACTCTTCGTCTTGATATACAACTGCTCAAATAGGGTGGGATAATAAGATCATATAATGGTTGATTCTGTATATCGTTATTCTCTCGTGAGTATATGTATATGATATAGTCACTTGTTCCGTTCGGTCACTTGTGAATATATCATATGATCACTTGAGTATAAACATGATATACAAAATCAACCATTTTATAACCTCATATTATACAATGGTATACCATATGAATAGTCAATTTGCAGTGTAATATAACACAGGAATAGGCTTTGTATAATTGTTATACAGTAGAATAACAAAGGAATTTGGGATTGTGCACTGTTACACAGTAGTAATCAATGGGCTATACTTGTATTGCACTGTTATGCAGTAATATAGCCAACCAATGGGGAATGTTATACTGTTATGCAGTAAGACAACAAATCAATGGGCTATAATGCACTATTATGCAGTAATGCAGCTTATTAATGGGGAATGTTATACTGTTATGCAGTAAAACAACAAATCAATGGGCTATAATGCACTATTATGCAGTAATGTAGCTTATTAATGGGGAATGTTGTACTGCGTACAACAAATCAATGGGCTATAATGCACTATTATGCAGTAATGTAGCTTATTAATGGGGAATGTTGTACTGCAGTAAAACAACAAATCAATGGGCTATAATGCACTATTATGCAGTAATGTAGCTTATTAATGGGGAATGTTGTACTGCGTACAACAAATCAATGGGCTATAATGCACTATTATGCAGTAATGTAGCTTATTAATGGGGAATGTTGTACTGTGTACAACAAATCAATGGGCTATAATGCACTGTTATGCAGTTATGTAGCTTATTAACCTCTTGACTACCTGGAGTGACAAGATTTCTCGTCACCTCAGAAATGACCTTTAAACCCAGAGTGACGAGAAAATCCATCATAAAAATTTTCACTCAAATTATTCTTATTTGAACATTTTCATCCAATTTACACGAAAATTGTTTTAAAATGTGTAGAAATGATCTCTGAAATGATCTCTGCCGTCTAATTTTACTTAATTGAGCATCTCAGGTTGTAAAGGTTAGTAGTAAAATGCCAAAAGATGGCAAAAATGAAAAATTCTCTGGTTTCAACCGATTTTAGAGCCTTGGATTAAGGAGGTTAATGGAGAATCTTGTACTGTTACACAGTAGTACTGCAGTAGTACAACAAATCAATGGGCTATATTGCACTGTTATGCAGTAATGTAGCTTATTGATGGAGAATGTTGTACTGTTACACAGTAGCACTGCAGTAGTACAACAAATCAATGGGCTATATTGCACTGTTATGTAGTAATATAGCTTATCAATGGGAAATGTTGGTAAGATTTAGCTTGACTCACTTGTCTTGAAATCAATAGATATTTTCCAAGCCCTCTTATAGTTTAAACTTACAAAAATTATCAATATTAAATAGGTTTTCATTGAGCATCCTATTTGAATTATTAAAGGCCAAATAAAATAGATCTTCTATTGGCAAAGTTAGATTATATCCCCTATAGCCATGGATGTAATTAAATACAGAAGTGCTTAATGGCTGAGAAAAATATTTGTTTTTGTTTTGTCAACTGGAGCTGACCACATTGTGCCCAGTGTGTAACCAAGCATAGCTTAATATACATATATCAATACCATTAAACTGTGCATTATGGCTTGGTATACCAATGAGTCATCACACTGTATGCAATAATAACAATATTAACCTAATATAAACAAACTAAGGACTTAATATACAACTCAAAAATATACTGTGTCATATTAGAAAAAAATGTCTGATGAATTAAATATTGAAGATAAGGTAAACATAGAGAAGAGTATGAATATGCTTGCTATTAAAATCAAAAAAAAGAAATTTATAAAGCGGACGTCAAGTAAATTGGAAGAATCTTATAAGTGGGAATGAGGGGAAACTTAGATTATTTAAACAACTTAAAACACACTTTGGATTTGAACAATACCTTTCAGAAACAACATTTTCAAATGCTAAACATCTCACTAGATTACGTATAAGCGCCCACAATCTAGAAATAGAGAGAGGCCAATATACAAGACCCATTACTGATTTAAATATTCGATTTTGTAAAATATTTAAGGACTTGGTTAAAGAAGATGAACCACACTTTTTATTCAAATGTAAACAATTGGAGTATATTAGAAAATCTCATATTGAAAAACTTGAAAACCTGTATAGTAACTCTAAAAACATGAATGACCATCAAAAGACAATTTTTCTACGAGTGAGGGGAACATATTAAAAGAATCTGCTGACATGATAAATTATCTAATGATTGGTAGAGCCAGGATTTTCATATCAAAGTAATATTTGTTATGTCATTTGAAGCATGTAATCATATTTTCTTTACTTTATTGCTATTTTTACTATTAATGAAAATTGTATGTTGGATGTACGTTTGGCCCTAAAAGGGGCATCAGTACAAATAAATCCTATTATATACAAATACCAATGACATTACACTGTATCCATTTTTGCCTTAATATGGTCTTTCTTTTAATCTACCCTGGATAGCAATAATATCTAAAGTATGTGAAATGTATTATATGAAAAAGATGTTACAGTCAGTTTTACCAGACTGGATTCCCTGTCATGGATGAAACCTGACCCGTATCATGGATTTGATCACAACTGACAACCCCATGACATACGTATTTCATAAGACCTTTATTTTTCTCTCAGAATTAGCCAGTCTGGCTACATGCCTGTGGATGTGGTTGGAACTGATGTATATAACTGGATTAGCCCCATAGACAAGGAATGGGTTCTCAGAGCTCACATTAAAAGTAAATTTGGTTGTATATGTGTTCTAATTGGACTCTCGTTTGAAGTTATATTGTAATCAAGATGTATCTCTAACATAGTGGGTTGTTGTCAGTGAAAACTATACAGACCCTTGTTGTATTGAGAAGTAATTTCACAGGCCTCCTCTGTACATGAACTTGTATCATTTGAGAACTATTTCCCCATGCTCTATCTACATATCTACATGTGAACCCCAGCTCCCCCTTGGAAAAAGCTGGCCAGGGCCTGTGTTGTGTTTCAGAACTGTATTCCTCATGCTCCTGCTTTACTTGTTGTATTTGAAAATTAGGTTCACATGTCCCATCTGTACTTTAAGAAGTAATTTCACTGGCCTCTTATGTGTTGGTTGTATTTTAGAAGTACTTTTCCAGGATCATGGGTTGATGACCACTCAACAATCCCATGAAAAAGTTCATTATGTGAATGACTGAAAAAACAACAAAAATACGACATCAACAACTGAACATAAATGATTATCATTAACGAGATAAGGACACACCAATTTTTACATGATGTGACATACCATTATTAATCAACCCATCTCTTTAAAATTAAAATACTCTGATTGAGAAATTAATTGAGATGTCACTGAAGATCTCTTTAAAAAGAACTTGAGTATATCAATTTTTCTCATCTTGAGACGGACAAAAGTTAAACAGGGTTGACATTAGTTTGAAATAGAGATGGCCATTTACCAGAGTTTGTTCAGAACTATTCAGGAGTGAAGCTCTTGTTAATTTTACAAATAATGTGTTAGACAAATATATTGAGTGTCAAGTTGGGTCATAAAATAACACTGCGTGGTCATATTGCACTATTATACAATAGTATACCTTATGAATAGTCAATTTGCAGTGTAATATAACACAGAAATAGGCTATTTGTATAATTGTTATACAGTAGAATAACATAGGAATGGGGGATTGTGCACTGTCACACAGTGGTATAACAAATCAATGGGCTATACTTGTATTGCACTGTTATGCAGTAATATACCCTTTCAATGGGGAATGTTATACTGTAACACAGTAGTAAAACAAATACATGGGCTATAATGCACTGTTATACAGTAATATACCCTATCAATGGACAATGTAGTACTGTTACACAGTAGTATAACAAATCAATGGGCTATAATGCACTGTTATGCAGCAATATACTCTATCAATGGGGAATGTAGTACTGTTACACAGAAGTAAAACAAATCAATGGGCTATAATGTACTGTTATGCAGTAATATAGCCAACCAATGGGGAATGTTGTACTGTTATGCAGTAGTACAACAAATCAATGGGCTATAATGCACTGTTATGCAGTAATATACCCTATCAATGGGGAATGTAGTACTGTAACACAGAAGTTAAACAAATCAATGGGCTATAATATACTGTTATGCAGTAATATAGCCTATTAATGAGGAATGTTGTACTGTTATGCAGTAATATACCCTATCAATGGACAATGTAGTACTGTTACACAGTAGTACAACAAATCAATGGGCTATAATGTACTGTTATACAGTAATATACTCTATCAATGGGTAATGTAGTACTGTTACACAGTAGTAAAACAAATCCATGGTCTATAATATACAGTTATGCTGTAAAATAGCCTGTTAATGGGGAATGTTATACTGTTATGCAGTTGTACAACAAATCAATGGGCTATAATGCACTGGTATGCAGTAATGCAGCTTATTAATGGGGAATGTTGTACTGTTATGCAGTTGTACAACAAATCAATGGGCTATAATGCACTGTTATGCAGTAATATAGCTTATCAATGGGGAATGTTGGTTAGATTTAGTTTGACTTCATTGTACTTTGGTCTTGAAATCAATATATATTTTCCAAGCTCTCTTATAGTTTATACTTAAAAAGATAATCAATATTTAATAGGCATTATGTGTGAATTATTAAAGGCCAAATGAAATAGATCTTCACTTGACACTATAAGTTATATTAGATCCCACATAGTCTTTGATGTAGTTTAAATACAGAACTGCTTAACCACTGATTGTTCCTGGAATGACAGAAAAAGATCATTTCATTGTTAAGGAACATTGTTTTTTAACTGTAGCAGATCGCGTGGGACCCAGTGTGCATGCAAACATAGATTAATATACATATATCAATGACATCACATAGTGTGCAATTATGGCCTAATATAAAATACTGTACCACAATGAGATGAAGCCAAACAGCTTTCATTTCTAATAAGATAATATAATCAAATACATATTACTATGTTATTTATTTCATATGACATTTGAACAAACTAGATCTGTTGTGAGATATGGTATTCTGTAACTTCTTAATGGATAGCAATGTTACAGCAACTGGATTCCCAGTAATGGAAGAAACCTGATCAGGATCATGGCTTGATCATAACTGAAACCCCATTAAACCTTTCATAGAACTATAAGTATAAATCATATCAGTTTTTCTCTCAGAATTAGCCAGTCTGGCTACATGCCTGCGGATGTGGTTGGAACTGAAGTATATAACTGGATTGAACCCATGGACAAGGGATGGGCTCTCAGAGCTCGCTTCAAAAGTAAATTTGGTTGTATCTGTCTTACAACTGGACTCTTCAAGTTATATTGTAATCAAGGTGTATCTCTACTACAGTGGGTAGTTGTTGTCCATCTGAAGCTTAAAAACCTTTGTAGTATTTGAAAAGTAATTTAACAGGTCCCTCTATACATGTTGCATTTGAGAACCAATTTAATAGCCCTCTTCTGTACTGTTGTATTTGAGAAGTAATTTCACAGGTCCCATCTGTACTTGTTGTATTTGAGAAGTAATTTCACAGTTCCCATCTATACTTGTTGTATTTGAGAAGTAATCTCACAGGTCCCATCTGTACTTGTTGTATTTGAGAAGTAATTTCAGAGTTCCCATCTGTACTTGTTGTATTTGAGAAGTAATTTCACAGGTCCCATCTGTACTTGTTGTATTTGAGAAGTAATTTCACAGGTCCCATCTGTACTTGTTGTATTTGAAAAGTAATTTCACAGGTCCCATCTGTACTTGTTGTATTTGAGAAGTAATTTCACAGGTCCCACCTGTACTTGTTGTATTTGAGAAGTAATCTCACGGGTCCCATCTGTACTTGTTGAATTTGAGAAGTAATCTCACAGGTTCCATCTGTACTTGTTGTATTTGAGAAGTAATTTCACAGGTCCCATCTTTACTTGTTGCATTTTAGGATTGATAACCAATTGACAATCCCCTGAAAAAGTTCATCAACATCAACAACTGAACATAAATGATTATCATTATTAATGAGATAATGACACGCCAATTTTTTACATGATGTGACATACCATTGTTAATCACTGAAGATCTCATTAAAAAGAGCTTGAGCATATCAATTTTTCTCATATTGAGACTGACAAAAGTTAAAATTAAAACTACATGTGGCTAATGCTATCAAAAAGAGTTGATAATATTTTGAAATAGAGATGGCTATTTACCAGATATTGTTCAGAACCATTTAGAAAATTACTTTTTTGAAACAATACAGAAATGTTTTGTATGTGCTTCATCAAACTGGATGTTGTTCTATTCCAATGTCAAATGTTCCACAATGAACCATTCCAAAAATGGACCTTTTCTGTAAGTAACACCATTTACAAGGAATGGTTTCAGCCACTGTAGAGAGCATCCATCTTGTTTCATCAAGCTTCGGACCTATCCTCATAACGTAGTGATTGAGCGTGGGAACCGATGATGGAGAGCATCCCCGTACACAGGTTTTACTTTATTGCTAAGACTAATGGGAAACTCTTGATATAGGTGAAGGGTTGCAATAGGGTAATATTACCTTACTAATGAGCGTTCTTCATGAAGAATCAGGTTGATTTATTACATGTATCTCTTCTTCACCTTGTCAGTGAACAATTGTGCATAAAGCCTTTATAAGGTTTCACTGGATTAATACAGAAACAGTTTATGTTAATATAGTTTCTTTGTTTATGTGTGATATAATTTTTGCTGTTGCTATGTTTTCATGCTTTTTTTCTATTGAAATATTATTTTACAAAGATATCTTTGAAAATTGAGAATATATCTGCCAGGAATTTAGAATGATGCTGTGCCAAGAAATGATTTTTTTGCTTGTCTGGGTTCATTTTGTTTAGTTTTTGACAGCAGTGTAGTTCTTAGTATAGCTTGTTTTTTGTGTTTTTGATATGTAGTATTTTTGTAATGACTAGTATAATATAGTAATCCTTTGTTTATATCTAATCCTTAAAGATCAAATCCTTAAAGATCAAATCTAAATATATGATTTTATAAGATAAATGGAGTATGTCTTGTTCCAGTAATAGTTTCACTTAACAACAATTCATTCAGTTTATATCCTTTAACTTTGAAATATCAAATATTTTGTCTATTTGGAATTGCTCTAAAAGAAACAATAATAAATTCACTCATTAAATCTATTTTCAGTAATTACGACTGGTGAGACACCATTTTGTTATTTTCGTATGTACCGTAAAGATCGAAGCTTCATCTGGATGCAAAGTAATTCGCATATCGTGACTGATGTTTGGACAGGGAAACCAAAGTTTATTCTAAGCATAAATGTAGTTCTCAGGTAACTATAGATTAATTTTCATAATCGTGACTAGATTAATTGTCATAATCGTGACTATAGATTAATAATTACCACAATCATGACTAGATATATTGTCACAATCATTTTTGACTATGATCTTTTTCTTCTGAATATTAAAGTAAGATTGTACGCTCCTTTCAACATTTTACATGTATTATCCTATCCTATGTATTTACTGCCATTGTTAAATTGATAAATCTTACTCTTGAGCAAGTTATTATTATTTACCATATGTTGTCTGCCTCCAGTGATGAGGATGGAGTGAGAAACTATGAAGAACAGAAGCGGGAAATACTCGCCCTGGAGGAGGCCGCTGCTAACCTTGCTTTGGAGAACAAACAAGAGGCTGGCCCAATAGCAGATGATGGTCTTAACATAAAGGATCAACTGGACATGAACCCTGGGAGTGTTGCCAGTAGCGTTGAAAGTTCATTGAAGTATGAGCGAGATCCTTTCGCTATGGATGAAGATAATGAGCCAGCATTCACTGCTGACACCCGGTATATGTCCCCAGATGACTTCCTTAAAAGTTTGTCAAATATGGGTCCATCTTTTTCATCACTCTCTAGTATGATATCAGGTGGAAATAGTAATGCAGCATCTTTGTCTCAATCTGGATCTCCAATGTCACCTTCTCCCTCATCATTTGCTGCTAGTGTCAGATCTGCGCCCAGTATGAGCGTAGATAGTCGGGCTAGTGATAGCGTGTTCCACACACCTGAGGGAAGTCCTAGTTGTTCCATGTCAAGCCCCAAACATTCCACACTCTCCCCTAGTACAAACACCCCCTCCCTTTCTGACATACATCCCCATCAAACTATTCTACCCAAGACAGATGGTGTCTCAACCAAGAAGAATGGTGCAATACCTAAGACCGACTCCACCCTGCTGGTTAAGCTTCTATCGAGGCCCTCAGTGGACAGTGTCAGCTCAAACATCTCAGATGAATCTATACTAAAAGGACTTGAAAAAACAGAAATAACAGGTACATGGAATACATTTTTTAAAGGTTTAGAATTTGTTCAAATATATTGCACTATTCTGCTTCGGAAATGACTCATAAGCTTAATTTGAAAACAATCTTGATAATTATATGATATTATCTAAAAATTAGAATCACTTATTATCTATGAATCACAAAAATACCTGATTACAATACCAAGGTGTGATCCCATATACTTGATCATTGATGACAAATTAGCAGTCATATGCTGTTTCGTGTACTAGTATTGAACCCTCACTCACAAACTAATATATGCAGCTTTTTGTATCAAACATGTAGAGAGAAATTATATTAAATATGTTCATCTGTATAGTTGTATATGATATCTAAATAATTTATGCTTGACTTATCCAAATTATAACTAATACCAAGTAGCCTATAAGTGCTTGAAGAAGATGGACATTGTTTATCGAAACATAGCGAGTAAGTTTAATAAATCGGATAAGTCTAGCTAGATTGTTTAGATATTTTGTAGAGAGAAAATTGCAAAAACTTAAAATTTGGGATTTATACAGAATACCATTTTTATTGATTTCAATTTTACCAACCTTGATGTAATATTCATCAACATCATACTTATTATGTAATAAACATGTAAATGATATCTACTATTTTAGATAAAAGTATGACAGTAGTTGGTGATGAAGGCATGCCTCCCCAGCCCAAAAGAGGCAAACGACCCAACTACCCCACCCCTGAGACTGTCACCCCTGGCAATAGTATCCCAGGCAACAGTCTCCTTGTCCAGTCACTTCTTGCCAACAACAAACAAACACAGGACTCAGGTAAGACTGGATTATACACAATCTTTTATTGTATACAGAATGTAGTTATGTGTAATACAAATCACATCTAGCCATTTGTTACGAAAAATCACATGGTGAGTGCCCATATATTTGTATTTTTCGACAAAATTTGTCAAAACGTCGCCTTAACAATGGTATGTGAAGTTGGACTGAAGATGTTTTCACTTTTTCATAGTTTTGTGATTGGACAGGTTACAATATTCATAACATCAGTATTTTCCCATTTTTTGGCCAGTTTATTCTCAAACTTGTGTTTAACATGTTTAGCTTAGCTTAGAAAACATTGTTCTATACTCATGGAGACAGTTATATTAGGTCATGTATGAGTAATTTTTTCCATGATTCAATCTATCATCATATACTCATGTATTTTACACCTTACAGCTGTTGGAAGTTCTACCAGTACAACAGTGACAACTCACAAACCTCCGCAACACCCCACAGAGCCAATCATACAGACTAGCCACGACAGTCCTCGTGGAAATAACACACCAAAAATAGATTTAGAGAAACGTAGCGCATATATCAAATTCAAGATGGCACAACAACTGAGTTCTCAACACCGCACGCTGAAACAGAGTCTTGAGCAGCAAACTGAGGAGCTGCAGATGTTGGAACAGCAGATGAATAGTGGAGTTAAAGAACCTGAAGTTATGTTACAGTTCGAGAAACTACAACAACTAGAGGTACATGGAAATTCATTTGCAACCTGTGTATGTTAACGCCAACCAAAAGCCAAGTATTTTTACATGGAAATTTATTTGCAACCTATGCATGTTAAAAGCCAAATTTAAAGTGTTTTTACATGGAAATTCATTTGCAACCTGTGTATGTAAAACGCCAACCAAAAGCCAAGTGTTTTTACATGGAAATTCATTTGCAACCTCTACATGTTAAAAGTCAAATTTAAAGTGTTTTTACTAGTGGTGTCAATTAACCGCTTGAGCATTAACCGGTTAACCGGGGGTTTCTACCGGTTAAAGTCGGTTAACCGGCGGGAAATTTGAACTTATAATTTCAAATGAAATCTTCATCTTCGATCTTGAAAGTTGAAAAAAATTGGAAAAATGATATATCGGCGTTTATTTTTTACGTTCGTCAAGCTTTACGCTATTCTATGTAGGTAAGCGCGGGAAAGCAATGTGGCAGGGATTAAAGTTGCTGATTTGATGTTTGTAAGGAATTATCGGACCTATCACATGTATGAGTAGCTCACATGAAACTGACGCTTGAAAAACAAACAGATTAAAATGCAAAGTAAGCGCGGGAAAGCAATGTGGCAGGGATTAAAGTTGCTGATTGGATGTTTGTAAGGAGTTATGTGACTTATGACATGTATGAGTAGCTTACGTGAAACTGACACCATAAAACCAAACGGATTAGCATGCAAAATAAGGGCGGGAAATAACAGAATTATACACGGTCAACTAACCGCCCATAAAAACTCAGACCGGTCAAGGCATTATCGGTGGTTAACCGGTTAATACTTGACACCTCTAGTTTTTACATGGAAATTCATTTGCAGCCTGTGCATGTTAAAAGCCAAATTTAAAGTGTTTTTACATGGAAATTCATTTGCAGCCTGTGCATGTTAAAAGCCAAATTTAAAGTGTTTTTACATGGAAATTTATTTGCAGCCTGTGCATGTTAAAAGCCAACTGTTAAGTATTTTTACCTGGAAATTCCTCTGTTCCATGTTATCTTAGTTCCTCACTGCTGTGACATTTCTAAAACTAACAATACTTCAAGCTTTAACATAGTGAAGAACTGCAATCATGTATCCTCGTGGTATCTGTTTGCAGAAAATGCTTCAAACAAATATGGCCAATGTTGCATGCAGTGGTCAATGTGAGACTTGTAACATTTTCATGAATTTGTTTTTATAATTACAGCATTATCATGCAATTAGTTTTAAACTTCTGTGCAACATCATTATGTGACATTGTTCTTTGCTTGCATTCAGCCTTTATCATTTTTCTTTCCAGGCTCAACGCAATGAAAATGAACAGGCATTACAACAGCTCAAAGTGGAGTATGTTCACCAAATGAAACAGCTGAAAGTAAAGCAAGGATTGCTCCCTCAGAACACAGATAGTGGAGTAAATCAACTGAGTTCCCTCCCTACGCAGCATAATGAACCTCACACAAGTTCTACTAATTGTACAAACATAAAGCCTCGCCGTGTGCTGACCCCTCAAAGACATTTTATTCCTCAACATAATACCCAAACTGTAGAAAATAATTCTTATTCCCCTAGATCAGCCTCCATGAAGACTATAGTTACAAACACTGACAGTATGACCTTGACAACCAAGGTTGCTCTCACACCAGCAGACACTGAAATGGGGGAAAGTACACACAATGATAACTCCATTGTCAACAATACACCCAAAGTCATCAAACTTTATAATGGAGATCTATCATCTCAAAATAGCAACATTTCTGCCAGAATTCATAGTGATCATGTACAATCTGGAAATCACATTGGAAATGCTCCACCAGGAAATCATATCGTTAATAATTCTCCAAATCATGGTGGTGATATTTCATCAATGGATCACCATGGAAACATTCCATTTACTGCAAAACACAACACACCAGTTAACACTAACACTAGACTTGAAGGCCTTACAAATGGCCAGCATACCTTTCCCAATATTACCAAGGAAACATTTTTACGGAAACTGTTAGAACAGAATAATAAAAATGACACTGTAAATACAAATGTGTCACAGGTGGCGCCACAGGTGACCCAGGTTATCAACAATAGTCCTGTAATGTCACAAAACTCAGAAACGTCACCAGTTTTGACGCAAGAGTTTGGAGATGCTAGTCTAGAAGACCTCCAGGACATCATAGACAGTGAATTGTTGGATGCACAAATCGATCTGAATGCTGATCCAAATATTAATTACGACTTCCTAAACTTTGTATGATATCATGCCAATAAAATGGTTCATTTGCACTCATTGTAGAGCATTCGAAATGTACAGACAGAAATATATATTGGTATTTATTTTGTCACTTTTAAAGTAGATGTACCACAGTTGATGAATATGAATATCACTATAATGGGAAATATTTGGCTCACCTGACAGGTCATGTTTGGAGTGAATTTAGTACATAACTTTATACCTATACCTTTGTCATGCATTTTTTTATTACTAGGCTATCTGTACAATTCCAATCAAATGAATAAAATTATGGTAAAAATTGAATTTTCCACAAATGATTTTAGATAATTAAAATAATGTTGATGCACTTTGAAATGTTTATCAATATATTTATTTATTGTGGAGTGGAGTTTAGTTCTTAGCAGAGAATATTTGCCAGTAAAACATGCCAATGTCATAAGATTGATTTATGCAATATGTGGATTCCTTGATTTGCTCATGTTATATCTACGTAAAAATTGATATTTTACAATTTCAATGGCGTTGAGGATTCATATTGATCAAGCTTGCCAACTTTCTGCTTTTTATGAGAATCTATCTAAAGGTTTTTGTAAAAAATTCCAAACTACCAAACCATTTTTCTGTAAAATATGAACTGAAATTATATTAAATATGTTCTTTTAGCGGTAGCTTTTACAGTACATAGGATTTAGTGGTTCAATTTTCATAGTGGTTCAGTTTTTATGTCCATTAAAAAAACATTAAAAAAACAAGAACAAGATATTGCACTTTTTTTTATAAAATAGGGTGGGGTCTATGAAGAATCTAACCGATCTAGAAGTCACATTTTCAAAGAAAATTCAATTTTCAAAGTTGAAACACTTCAAGGTTGAAACACTTTAAAACCTTGACTGAATATTTAATGATGTAAATGAAGATTATTTCTACTTGCATCTAGTCTATTGGTTGTTGATTTTATTTTAGATCAACAAAATGTTGTTTGGCTTTAAAGGGTAGTAAAGTATAGAAGAGGGTGATATGTTGGATATGTGTCTCTTTAAAATTCTCTTTCATATCTGAAAAGTATAAGAGACTTATGAAATATGGAAATTTAGTATTTAGATTTAGTTTTTAAGTATTCTTAAGTATTGAGAGTGCTAATAAGATGGTTTTGTATGTCATACTCTCTGTCCTTTGTCAGTTTAATATCTCAAAAATTCTCAATTGGATTTGTTTTACTGAACATATATTTCCAATTGGTTGCATGTATATTTTAAAAAATGATGAATTGACCAAAAATAAAAGTTAGATCTCATTTCCTAAATGTAGGTTTGTGTTGATTCATGAATATAGAAAATAATATGATTATTGCCAATTATGAATGTGTTTGGACTTGAATAAGCATCACAAAGAGTACATTGTAAAAATATCCCTCATGTAAAATTTAGTCAATATGGAGGTTTAATTGCATAATCTTAAGTGAACTTGTATGCGAATGTGTAGAGTTCTGATCCTTTAGAGATAAGTTCCTCATGTACTCGTAAAAGTGAGTAAATATGAAGGTTAATACATGGTATATAAATACAACTTATTTATTTGCCTGATTTACTGTGAAGGTATATTGTATAAGGGAAAGTTGTCATTAGGTCCCTTGAATAAGCAATTATGAATGTGATATGTAATCCCTGCAGGAGTCATTAATATTACACATTCAATATTACAAGTTCTCTCAAAAATGTGCAGCTTAACCTCGCTATTGTTAGCAATATGATTGTAATGTGATTGTAATTTTGCTATTCTCAAATATTTAAAAGAGGAAAAGTGTAATGCGGCTGGACTGCCAAAATTAATGTTACTGGAAATTATATTGTCACACTGTATTTTCAGTATTTAAGTATGTTCTACAATACAGTATTAAGTTATAAATTGTACATAATGAACCAGTGATGAATGCTGAAATTACACTATAGTATGGGAGCAAAGGTCATTCCGTTTCCTTTTTAGAGGCGAGCTAAGCGACATATATTTTCATGAACTATACGTGATACTTATCAAGAAAAATGATGTTGGCAATTCTGAATCCGCGACGGCGTTGCTATGGTAACCAAGTAAATATGCCACGCCCACTTTTAGGGGCTCTTTTCAGTGTATGGCCCCTATCTCTGTCATTTTTGTTCAGATTTAGATGAAATTTACACCAAATGGAAGCTAATGGATAATGCAATCAGGAAATATTAAGTTGGCAATTCTGGATCCGATATGGCGTTGCTATGGTAACAAAGTAAATATGCCACACCCACTTTTCGGAGCTATTTTCAGTGTTTGGCCCATAACTTAGTCATTATTGCTCAGATTAAGATGAACTTTGCACCAAATGAAAGGTAATAGATAGAGCAATCGGACAATATGGTGATTTGCATATCAATTATGACGTCATAACTGTTTGTTCTTGCATAATTAATTTTAATCATAATGTATAGATCTGGTAAATTATTGTCTTTAAAATGGTCCGGTCCGTATAATGTTTTTAACTATTCTTGTTTGTTTCTTTTAGTTGAGTTTATTAGTTTATTCCATTCACACATGTATGATCATAATAGTTGAATAAATATTATGGAAGTGTCCAATTCATACTGTTGCTTTTGTGACAGCATGCAACAAAACCACCTGCTGTAAACAAGAATTCTTTAGGAAATGTTACATTTTGACCAGTTGACTGACATGTATTCTTTTTAAAATTTGATGACAGAAAATAATCTAATAACCATAGTTATTAAATTTGGATTGTGTTATATTATGATGTCATAATGACAATTTTTAATTAGGGGCGCAGCCAGCTTTCAGTCAGAAGGGGGCCTGCGATCGTGGCACAGGCAACCAAAAAGTATTTATAAGATAGGTTTTGAATTTTACAAAAATTGATCCAACTTCCTTCAAAATTTAGCAAAAAGCTTCAAGTCGAAAGCCTTCTTTTATGTAATGGTTCTATTTTTATCGGATATGAGGGGGTAGGTGAACCCAGCGCACAACCCCCCCCCCCCCTAAGCACTGCCTATGTTAATCCAACTTGATGTTGCTATGGTAACCATTAGGTGAATATGCTAGGTGAATTAGACAATACATGAATAATGTAGATTGGCTGACTGACAAACTAAGTACCTGTCATGGTATCATAGCTGATTTTTGTGATTATTTTCTTGAAATAAGGTAAAATTGCTCAAAATGATTCCTCTGTAACAGACATTGGTACTAACTATCCCATTAATCGCCTAAAACACTTGACAAACATTTTACAAAACACAAATTGTAATACTAAATTTCAGAAATCCCCGCAACAATTTCGCAAAGATTAGTTTTTGCTTTTTTATCAAGCACGAAACTAAATCGCAGGTGAAAAATACCAGGAGTACAGTACCTGTTATGGTATCATAGCTGCTTTTTGTGATTATCTCTTGAAATAAGGTAAAATTGCTCAAAATGATTCCAAATTGGAACCTTGTCCTTTGACATTCACCATAAAATGAGGTCAAAGCTGAAAACTATGATTGATTCCATTTCTTTATGGAGTATGGAGTATGGAAGCCCCTGATTTAAGATATGCTTTTGGTTTTGAAATCCGACATCCAACCATTCGGTTCAAAATTGGTACAGTTATGTCTACATGACCTAAAAAGATGAAATAGGCTAAAGTATTGACCTATACCATAAAATGATATTATTTTTTATGTAAATTGACGTTGAACATATTTTTCGGATTTCAAAACCATTAGCAGCTATTAATGCCACGATGGGTATGCCAGTCAGTCAATATACATAATCCATGCATTGTCTACTTCTTTAGCTTCAATTTGGTGAATATTTCATACACACTCAAGCTGTAATCATGACAAAGATAGAAGCGAAACTTTGAAAAAGCCCTGAACAGTGGGGATGGCATATTCACCTTGTTACCATAGCAACATCATATTGGATTAACATAGGCATTGCCAGAGGGTGCGATGGGTGCGCCCCCATAAACAAAAAAAAATAGAACCATTAAATAAAAGAAGAGCTTTAAAATCATTTTGACCTGAAGCTTCTAGCTCAGTTTTGAAGGAAGGTGCATCAATTTTGTAAAATTCAAAACAAATCTTCCCCCTCTCCTGACTGAACGCTGGCTGCACCCCTGATTAATAATTGCCATTATGACATCAAAACATAACACACTCCAAATTAAATAATTTTCTATAGTTAAGATTATTTTCTGTCATCATATTTTAAAAAGAATACATGTGTCAGTCAGCTAGTCAAAATGTAAAATTTCCCAAAGAATTCTTTTTACATCAGATAGTTTTGCTACGTGCTGTAACCATAGCAACAGCATAAATTGGACACTTTCATTATATTTTTGATTCCATCAGTTTTTATGACCATGCAAGTATGAATGAAATAAAATTATAAACTCAACTTAAAGAAATAAACTAATTAATTAGGTAAAAACATTACTGACTATTTTAAAGACAATAATATCACAGATTAATACATCATGATTAAGATAAAATATGCAAGAACAAACATTTATGACGTCATAATCAATATGCAAATCATCCTATTTGCATAGTTTACTAACTGTCTGATTGCTCTATCTATTACCTTTGATTTGGTGCAAATTTCATCTAAATCTGATCAATAATGAAGAAAATAAGGGCCAAACACTGAAAAGAGCCCCTATAAGTGGGTAGGGCATATTTACTTTGTTACCATAGCAACGCCATCGTTTATTCAGAATTGTCAACTTAATATATCCTGATTGCATTATCTATTACTTTCAATTTGGTCTGAATTTCATCAAAATCTGAGCAATAATGGTGGAGATGGGGGCCAAACACTGAAAAGAGCCCCTAAAAATGGGCGTGGCATATTTACTTTGTTACCATAGCAATGGCATCGCAGATTCAGAATTGCCCATAATATTTCTTGATCATACTTTATACGTGTAAAGAAATAGAATGTAAATCAATCATTGTTTTCAGCTTTGACCTACTTTTATGGTGAATGTCAAAGGACAAGATACCAATTTGGAATCATCTTGAGCAATTTTACCTTATTTCAAGAAAATAATTTCGAAAACAGCTATGGTAGTCATACCATAACAGGTATATCAGTCTGTCAATCTACATTCCCCATGCATCGTCTGATTCTTTAGTTTCCATTCATTGAAAATTGCATATACACCAGAGCTATCATCATGACAACTGATAGAATCAAGACTTTGGAAAAGACCTGAAAAGTGGGGATGGCATATTCACCTGAATACAACAGCTAACATAGGGATAGCCAGGTGGTGTGATTGGGGCACCCCCACCCCCCCCCCCCATTTAGCAATAAAAAATAGAACCATTACAGCAGGAGATCCAAGACGTCATTTCCATTGTTCTTTCGGCAGAAGAGCTTTAAAAATGCTTTTGACTTGAAGCTTCTAGCTCAATTTTGAAGGAATTTTTGTAAAGTTCAAGTCAAATTAAACTTTTTTGAGTTGCTTATGCGATATCGCACCCCCTCCCCCCTGATTGAAAGCTGGTTGCGCCCCTGATTAATAATTGCCATTATGACATCATAATATAACACAATCCAAATTAGATAATTTTCTATCGTTATTAGGTTATTTTCTGCCAGCCATCAAATTTTAAAAGGAATACATGTCAGTCAACTAGTCAAAATGTTTTCACAGCAGATAGTTTTGCAACATACTGTTACCATAGCAACAGCTTGAATTGGATATTTTCATTACATTTTTTCAATTTTTATGACCATACATGTATGAATGAAATAAACTAATAAACTCATCGAAAA